GGGGTGGGTGGAGGAGAGATTGAGATTGCTTCATGCATGGCTCGTACTGCTTCCTATCTCAAATGTCACAATTCTTGTGTTCATTAATAAGCAGGTTAAATTCAACTTGCCTCGTCACAAGAATCCGTTTCCATTGAGGTAATTTGATTTGTATGAAACCCTTAAAAATTAGTTTTATCATCGTCAGTCCTTTCCATTCATGACAACTCTGAAACATACCTCCATGGCAAACTGTCCGGCATAGGTACCAGTCATCGTTGACGACTGTCCAGCTGCCAGAATTCCTATTGCCCATACGTACAGAGCTGCTACCCCAAATGTGCACCCTGCAAAGGAGAAATGAAGTGAAATGGTAGGGAGAACGGGCGGTGGTTTATGGACACTGGATCCCGGATGTGGACTAGGAAACGAGTATTGTGAGTAGCGGAAATAGGGTATCACTAGACAGTTCTATAGAGGATTTGATAATCTCGAATAATTTTTCTTCTTTAATGGAAATGTGATCTGAAAATCGAACTCTGCCGTCCAAAAAAGAGACGCTGCGTATTGGGTTGTCTCATTAAAAATCGGGTTATGTAGATTCTAGTCAACCTGACATTTTCGGCTTTTCGTATAATCAAACAATGAAAGAAGGAAAGTGGAGTTTTTATCGCTGGAATTTTACTTCCTTATCCAAAGGCAGAATGCGCCACGTATCCGACATTCACTGAGAAACAGGGATCCCAAACGACTTGCAGAGCACATTTTCCTTTTTGTTGACTGTTTTTGTTCCCTTTCTTACCATTCTTAGTCATTCGTCGTTGTTACCACTTTCTTTTTTTTTCTTTTTTCCCTTCTACAAGCAAAAATTCATTTCATCTTGAGGTTTGCTCTGGCATTTCTGTCAAGACTCTTCACTCACCGAGAAAAATGCCTGCATGGAAGATGTCGATGTCAGCGGGATCGGTGTTATTCTCGTACACTACTTTGTAGAAGTCCGGCATGTGATTGTTGATCGTGTCACAGCTGTGTTTCTAGAACAATTAGCTATTCGGCGAACGCCATTACAGTACTTATGAGGTGTGGTCATCTGTGAAGTTTGGAATGGCAGCTGAATGGGAAGGCAATCAGACACTCTCACTGCCAGACAGATCCTTTTTAGAAGGCACTTTCTTGCAGAAGGACTATTCTGGACGCTGATCAATCGCTTTCTCGCCACCGTTAATTCATTTCGGCTGAAAACTCGAAAGCTGAAAGCTTTAGAAAATCGGGTCATATAAACCACAATCTACCCAGGAAAAGAGCTTCATTCGCTGTCTATGTAGAAATATCATCCCTGGCCAGATATCCTATCAAGCTTTCCCCGATGTCTGGGTCATTCTGCGGCAGAATTACACATTTTTGCATTGAACATCCCCATTTGGTACTGGTTCGTTTCTTTTTTATTGTGCTCACCACACTCCACCGATTCTTTCACGGGTGCCTTTAGTTCCTCGACCCCATCCGTACCATAAAGAGATTTCGGTTGAGAACTCAGTTTATCGGCGAAAACGCACCCATTAGGCATATCTGAGGTGGGTGGATTTTCTTGTATCAATGATCCCATGCTATACGGGTGACCAGGTGCAGCCTGGAGATTCCTGGGATTGCCAACCTGATTTTAATGCAAGGAAATGGGAAAAGGAGAAACACTTACCACGTCGGCATTCGTCTTGCCATAAAGCCCTTGTCCGAACACGGCCACTACAAGCACATTGATCCAGAAGGAGCAGAATAATGCGAAAAATGACTCGATGAAGTAGTACTTATTGGCCTCCTTCACTTTCGACTCCCGTGTTCGGTCTATCGCTCGACTCTGCATTGGCATTATGATGATGCTGCCTTTGGAAAAAAATCTCACGACGTACCTTGACTAGAGCTGAGTGCAGGTAAAGGTTGTGTGGCATTATAACAGCTCCAACAACGGCAACACCTTGTAAGAACTGAGGTGTGCCACAGCCGCTGCACCAAGGTAGCACCATGCCTGTGAACAGCTCACCCTAAAATGAGGGTACTCATTCAGTGATCCTACTAAACAAAAGCACTAGTTGAGAGAAGTACTCGAAAGTGGTGGGACCTCTCCCGAGAAAATACGATTCGACCAGTTGACTTCATTTATGCCAGCAGTCAATCACTCAATCCCCATTTGTCTCCAAGCTCGTTTGTCTGTCCCTCGTTCAGTCATCGCTCATCAGTCTATCTTGCCCACTTTAAATATTACCGCACTCTACTGGTGTCAATGTCAAGCTTTTTTTATTTGCCGTTGCCGTGTTATGATCTCTCAAACAAGTTGTCCCAGACATCACAAAACGCTTCTCACTAGTGCCTCCTGATGAACAACGCAGGCGAACGCGCAGATGACGAGCAATGGCATATGACGCCGTTATCGTGTCTATGAATGACCTGGGGATCGATTCTCAGATCTAATTCCATCTATGCCGACTCAGATTTTTATCCCTATAAGCCAACTGGTTAGTAGCACACTGGCTAGAAAAAGTTAGGATTACTTGGGTTGGTCATTCCATCACATTGTACAGAGTAAATGCGCTTCCAAAGGCCGCTTCGTTTTTGGATCAGAATGGAATACGTGGCGTCTTCTAAACAATGTTTGGCTGGGGCTGATCCAATCATTGTTCCCTTAGGTACAAGCGTAACATCTTTTCAAGCCGAATTGGTAAATGGTGATGTTGGTCATTCTTTTGCTAAGACGACGCCGCCTTTACTTTCACGAGATGGCCATCTATGAAAAGGCAGAAGCTTATGGAAAAGGGAACCTGCAGAACACTTTGTCCTGTCTTGCGAGAGTTGAAGTGGAGTAATGCAAGTGCAGACGCAAGCGTGATATGCTACTGTATTAATGTTCGCAGCCTTTCAGTAACAGGATCCTAAGACCTTTGTAAACTGGTACTTTTATAAACAATCAAAGAGCCGTTGGGTATCTAAAAACGTGGGTGTAGTTCAGATAAACCGCCTACCGCATCTGGCTTGCTTTCGACAAATTCAAATCCAAATGTTACTGCCATACAGGCGATAAGAAATGCAAAGAACGCTTCGAATTTTCTCACACCATATCTGCAAGGATTGAGTGTTGATTACTTTTTAATACTATTCAGTAGGTCATTTCTAGACGTGAATATATTTACCTTTCAAGGAATAGAAAGGTGAAAGTGTCACAAATTGTTATCAGCACTCCTGCCCACAGTGGGATACTGAAAGCAGAAGAAAAATAATGTTATGTACCCTATTTTTCGTAAAAAAATTCAAAAGATAACAAAGGGAATCGAATCGAAGGGTCAGGCCACTTAAAGAATTGGGTAACATTCACAAGTCTTTTTATTAGTCAATTCTTTCCGAATAGCAAATTCTTAATGTTTGCCATCCGTTACAGTAATCAATATGATTCGCAGGTTACTGGGGATTGCTACTTCAGTCTTTTTTGGCCTTTCCATCGAGCTTGTCCAATGTGAATGGCTCCCTCCTCAAGATTTGACTAGAATCACAATTTAGGGCTCAATTCGCTGAGACTCTCCCCCGTTAAAGGATCAGTGGCCATCATGTTCCTCTACTTTTCTGACTGGTGAGTTGTCTGCCTGCCTGCCTGTCATCACTCTTTTTGACAATTGATGTTTATGGTTTATCTAAACTAGAAGAGTTTCCGTAACAGGACAACCTAGTATGCAGGTAGAAGTAAATAAACAAGTAACAGGAGTAAGCCATTGGGTAAACTCTTACTATCCGTCGGAGAGCAAGTAAAGCGAAATAGCCGTTCCAATGACTTCTTGCATATCAGATCCAATGATGGCTATTTCCACCATAATCCATAGGGCCAGTCGAGGCCATTTTGGATAGTAGGAGTGAGCAATCTGGAAATATTAGATCTAGTCTGCATGAATTCATAAGTCAATAAGTATTGAGTTAAAGTTGATGATAGCAGTGGTGTGGTGATCAGGGATACCACTGTCGATTGTATCCACAAACCACCAAGGCATCAATAAGGGAAGCACCGTGAATTTGCTGGCATGGGCAGAACAAGAAGAACAAGCCCTTTTTTCTTTTTTTAACGAGGATCTTGATTATACTAGTTTTCAAACAAAAACTAATAGGGAGTTCTGGTTCATGGGCATACGGTAGTGGTACTGTAGTGATAAATTCAAACATCTACCTCTGCCATATGCTTTCCCGATACAACACCAAGACGAGCTGCAAGTCTTTGAAGAAGTAGGCCGAGCACGTGAGCAAGTAGAAGTACCCATATGAGCTAAAACTAATGCAAGTATGTGGTGACAAATCCAACAGTATCTAAGTGATTAGATTTTTCAGAGTCACCACAGCACATGGCTCGATCTACAGGCTGCTGGAGACACATTATAATGCAGAAGTACAGAGAAGAAACAGAAGTATCTCTTATCCGGCTAACCGGAACTCACTTTGAATTGTGCGACAGCTCCCGACTGCAGATCACTTTCGATGTTTCCCGGATCAAGGTAAGCAATACTCATGAGTAGACCAGGTCCAGTGAACTTCCATAACACCCTAAAGCTGAAGCCTCCCTAAAAAGCTTTGCGATTCTTCTGGGAGCCTTGAAGATGGGTTTCTGACGAAAATCCCAATTTTGCTCTCAACTATTCACCTCTGGGACGTCTGGGATGTCCACTTTGACGGCGTATGTCTCCTGTGCAGCTTTCGGCGTCCTCTTCTCCTCTTCAGTCATCCTTTATTGCTAGAGTTCAAACCTATGAAACCAGTTCAAGAAATAATAATCGATTGATGCAGATAGCAGTAATATGAACGAGGAATGTGAATTATTTGTGAGCAGGACACTTGATAAGGACTTCCTGCAGAAAACATCTTTTATTACGGGAGGTTGACAATGTGACATTGTAATATTCAAAGTATTCATGGTTCTTAATTAGTAGAGTCAGGAGGCCGAATAATGGGTGGAAAGCTTCGAGAGCTTTAAAATGCTTTCGTAGTACCGTGCTGGGATATCATTCTCAATTTTCGAGGCATTTATAAGGTTCTGGGCGAGCTAGAAAGTTCTAGAGCATATTGCCAGAAGGAAAAAAATTCCGTCAAGTGGAATTATTCGTGTGGAATTCGTATGGAATTATTAATTATATAAGTATCGATGTCGTAGGAAGACATTTTTAAATGACGAGGGAATGCTTCATTCTATAGTCGGAGGGTCGTACCCATCTTGCATCCAATTAAATACCAAACCTCTCTCTGAACCACTGAATCATTACCCAAATATCCGGAAAGGGCGGATCAGTGACTAGGATGTCTGGCGAACATTAATCGTCTCTCCTGATGTTTGGCTCCAAACTGAACTTTGTCCAGAAAATTCATTCAATAAAAGTGCATTAGTAAGAGAGCATAAAGCAAAATTCAGGTTCGAGACGAGTGAGGTTTTTTTTTTTTTTGAAGAAAGAAGGTTCCAAGTTAGTTCTACAGCTTAATTACTTCTAATGATTTTTAAAGTATGATGCGATGAAAAGGTAGAGAGATTGTGATGACAGTTGATTATTGGGGTGCCATTTTATAACGACGTTATCGGCCGTTATCTGTTTTGCCTCTGAACTGTGGAAGATCGAAACGTGCCGTAGACCTATTCGCGAAATTACCGACGTCACCGAGTTGAAAAAGTTAAGGGCAAGGCAACAGGTTATAGAGAGAGATGCTGGCTGCTTAACGAATTCCCCCAGCAGATAGTGTGGAAAAGCGGATGGGCAGACCAAACGGGTCTGGGCTGGTGTCAAAGATATGGGCTGATAATGTCCGATGCTCTTTTGTTGAGCCGTAGAGTGCCACCGTTTGTAGCTGATAAGGAGGAGCTGACAGTGATCCTTGTAAAAAATAATTGAAAATATTCGTTAGGCTGCACCACCCACTACAATGCCTGCGATTACTGGGTGTCTGGACAAGCCCGATGTTCATGGATGTTGCTCTTAGGCAAGGGATCAGATTTCAAAGAATTCAGTCCGTAGATCAGGTTTAACAGTCAAAAGGGTGTATAGGTGGTAGATGGTGTCCTGATCGTTCACAATCAAACAAATCAAAAAAAAAGCCAAGACTCGATTCATGTCTTATCACTTACGGCTCGTAGCTGTCCATATGAACCTTGAACTTTTCAATGTCCGCAGACAGAAAAGCCACTGTTACATCGTCGGAACGTAGTTGTATGGGAGTAGTTTCTTTTCTGTAAACATGCTTTATAGTGAGAATTCAACCGTAGCTCAAACGGGGATGGAGGTGGAATGCAAAGGTCGTCCCCACAACTGTCGATAGGGTCTGATATTATTTGAAGCAGAGAACTTCACTCAAATATTTCCCCAATCTGTATTTTTGATTTCGGATCTACGGTAACTGCCTAGTTGGGCTGATTTCTTGGGGTTATGGCCTTATTTGGAGATCGAGAAGGCGATAAACCAAGCTGAAGCCGAATTTCAAAAGGAGTAGAGTTTGGGCAACTCTGAGAGAATTTAAGGGTCCTTATTAATGAATCTTTCAGAGATCCCACTGTTCTTCTAGTTGTTCGATAAATAGTTTTTGAATACCCAAGAGCGCTTTTGAGCATCTTTATCAATGAACCTCCTAAGAAGCTTAAATGATTTGACAGCTGGCGTTATTCGTACTTTGTCTGAACAACGTCAAGGTTATTCGACACATTTTTATGTAAATGATTCATAATTGTTGGCGATCAGACATCTTGCCCGTTCATTCCTTTCCAAAAAGGTAGGATTTGGCGAAGAGGTAATCGGACTTTTTTTTTTGAACACCGGCTTTTTAGACCTACTTTCTTTTCGGGAAATGTAGAATCAGACTCAGGAATTGAGGCTTTTAATCTTAGTCGAACTGCGAATTCCGGCCCAATGTTCCTTTCAAGTATTTGTAACTTGGAGGCGGAGGAAGAAAAAACATAGTTTAGTAACTTTCCCTGGCTCCAATGTGGCAAATGGATGAACAATGGATGTAATAAATAAAGATTTAGCAATCCAAGCACTGTTTGTTACCCAAGAACTCAGCCAGTTTTTTTTCTGCCGTGTAATAGATAAGTGAAAGCCCATTTTCACTACTGATATTATTTAATATTAACATTTAAAAAGGGTGAACTCTTCCGGGTTGATCGATCCCCATGTTTGGGGAGCTGCCCATATCAGACCCCATTCAGAATCGTAGTGGCGGTTTGAAGACGTATGTATCTTATATAGTGACCTGTGATGATCGGTGAATGTACCATTCAGTGCATTTTCCTCCCAGACAAATTTGGTCCTATTTATCCGATCAGGGAGTGATGGGAGTCTTGGTTGACCTGGACGAGTATGGTCGGGAGTTCGACCCGCTAAACAAGCTTGTACGATCATGCACCAGTTGTCACTACATCACCTCCACACATTTACTTATTTACATAGAACGACAGTTTCAACGGAGATACTAGTAAGCAGGAGAAGAAAAGTACCTTCTAGGTCCGCTCCAAAACAGAGGCGATATTGACATTTTTCTTCACTTTGCGTTAAATGCAGGAAAATGCAGCCTCTTTTAACCGAGCACCTTTCATGGGGCCAATAAAGTCCCTTGGATGAGTTGCCCTTGAAAAACCTCGTGAATTGCAATCAACTATTCAGCGAATTGCAGTATGGTTGTCGGCCGCCCATGTAGAAACCTTGACGATTTATGGGGGAGTTTTTGACCCATCGATAGCGATCCCATTGTGGTATATACCCAGACATTCGACTCTTCTTTAGAATCATTAAGGATTCGAATGTGTTTCTGGCCTACAATGCGATGGCATACGAAGGCCAACGTGGACTTTATTTACTTATGCGGCTAGTTCAACGCCTCGAAGCACATAAACAGTGATACAAACCCAAAGAAAGCGGCGCTCCCAGAACACCTAGGTGGCACGAAAATCTTTCAGGATCTTTCATTGAATAGATCGAACAATTTTCGTTGAGCGAATCGGAGCAGATGTTCGGGAGAAGGGAGCTTCCAAAGCTCTGTAGATCTATCTATTCATTCTACACTGAAATGTGTTGTATAGCGAATTTAGAAGAAAATCGTAACCACAAGTCTTGGACGGACAGTGAAGTGACGCGAGTGCAACCAAGTTACACTCAGAAAAAGAAAAAAAATGAGATCGCGAACATAGAACGAGAACTTCAATCAAATAGAAGACAGGTTTCCATAAAGAAAACCGACAGGCAAGGGGGTAGGTAAAAGTAAATATGACGGGACTTTATCACTAAGTCAACTGGACTGGGAACTGTTCAGTTGACTTCAACAAAAGACACTCTCAAAACATTGACTACTGCATCCTTTTGGTTTGACAGCCGAAGGCTTGAAGTTATGAATTCAACTGTGAAAGCAGTAAAGAAATTAGAAGCAGACAATCAACTGATAAATCGCCTTGGAAGACTTCCAAGGTTGCAGAAGGCCACCTTAACTCAAAACTCGCTTGGTAACATGTATAGTACTAGTATACAGTATACACCGAACTGGAAACGTCTCATAGAACACTTATGGGTACAGGTGCTCAATCAGGAGGTCTGCAAGAAAGAATATTAACCTTGACAGTCAATAGATTATAAAACCACCAGATTCTGAAATTCCTTTTTTAGGATTCCAATCAATTTTCCTAAAATTTTACCGCTTATTTATTTTGGTTTGGTTTTTGACAATCGATTGAATTAATCTTTCCTTTTTCTATTTATTTCTTTTATTTACATCTGAGAATTTGCCGACTTATTACATAATGGGATGCGTTTATGAGCATAATAACAATATAAGTAGGTGAAGAAATAAGTAATTAAACAGAAAATCAACAAATATTTTGGATTCGATGGAAAGAGAGCTAGATCCAAACTTTCGAGGTTCAACGCATTACCTCAAAATTACTGTCCAAGTAATCGTTTCGACGTTTCCAATTCATTCCTATCGATTTGACAAATGCTGAAAATGGTGTGAATCACGCCGAAACAAAAGCGTTGTTTAATTCAGAATATGCTCGTTCAGTTCCAGAATTTCGACCCTTCATTACAACCAAATATTTGAAGATGGTACCATCGCTGATCAAGCTATTGCATATCTCGAAAAACCCTTCTTTTCTCCTAATCTTCCCAGAAAGTTGTAAAAGTAATACCGGATTACAATAGTAAAACAAGTTATAACTGAACTCAATTACTCGAGAAAACGATGTCACTTTCCATTTGCACTTGACGTCTTATCAATCCGTCTTTTTTATTGCACTTTTTTCATATTCATTTTGTCTCTTTTAATTTTATTCCTATACGTGTTTTTATATTAGCAAGAATTAGGTGATACAAGCGATATGTTTTTTTTTTGTTTTATTTGACTTTTTGACAGCAAAAGTGCTGACAGGAGACAAAGTGTCCTGACCCTGCTGATGTCTCTTCTTCCCGTCGCTACCCAAAAAAAGATAAGTGATTCTTGATTGAACAAATTGAATGGGGATAGGGATCTTTATTTATTTATTGAATGCGCTCAAAAGGCGCGCTACAAAGGAAGCTAGAGCCGCAGGTTCTGCATTACAAGAGAGATTAAGAGGTAAGAGAAACAAAATTAACGAAACGATCAAACAGAAAAATTCTTGACAGGAAGGCCTGTAGGACAGGGGTTCATATACCACTTTTCAACTTATTGGATCAAACTTCACTACTGAAGCTCAGGAACGAACCTCTGACAGTCTATCACATCACACAAGATCAGAGTACTGACGTGGCTGCAGAACACAATATACAGTGGCCGAACACAGNACAGACCCGCACCAGTCGGCTATGGTGCCCACTCGCCACACCAGGGGTCATAGGGGCTCAACCGAAAC